GAATCTTTAAGGTTTCTTATGTATAATATCATGCCATTTGCAAATAAGGACAATTTTTTCAATTTTGATGCCTTTTATTTCTTCTTCTTGTCTAATTGCAATGCCTAATTACTTCCAGTACTATGTCGAACAGGAGTGGTGAGAGTGGGCATCCCTGTCTTGTTCCTGTTCTCAGGGGAAATGGTGTTAGCTTTTGTCCATTGAGTATGATGTTGGCTGTGGGTTTGTCATATATGGCTTTTATTATGTTGAGGTATGATCCTTCTATTCCCACTTTGCTGAGAGTTTTTATCAAAAATGGGTGTTGGATTTCGTCAAATGCTTTTTCTGCATCAATTGATATGACTATGTGGTTTTTTCTTTCAATTTGTTAATGTGATGTATCACGTTTATTGATTTGAGAGCAAGATTTTTTAATTCTCTACACTGCACACTGCCCTGGTGCTTTAGATCCCGTAATTAACTATTTACTTGGTTTTAATGGCTAGGACTCCAGTGTCTTAGGTCCCATTTTTCTCTGATTAGACACTTAACTTTATGACAGTTTTTATATCTATAAATGTGAGTTATTAATCTCATAACCAGATTTTTCCAAATATTGAGTTAACATTTGTAAAACTTCGTAGTACTCAGATGAAAAGGCCTTGAACCAATAGTATATGCTTTTGTTTGGCTGTTTATTTGTTTCGTTATATTGAATATATGATGGTAAATTGTAGTTTAAAGAGCATTTCTGGTTGGTCTTAGGCACAAAGCATTTCCCTAAAAGCTTAAACTTACATTTGATCTGATCAAACTAATTTACTTGAGCTCCCCAATTCTACTATCCAAATCTAAAATTCATCTTGTCTTCCTGTTGCCCTTTTTGACCTTTAAAAAACTAACTCAGGAATCTTCTCCATTTCTATGGTTATCATGTTTACTATTTTTGAAAAGTGGATCATTTAGATTAGACATACTAAGTCAATATCTATAGCAATAGGGACTTAAATATTGGTATGGACTGTGCAGTGAGGTGAGCCCTTCTAAACAGATAAATTTAAGAGTGTGGGAAAAGGCAGGAGATTCAACTGAATCTTGGGAAGGGTAGGAGGAATGCCTAGATTGCTTGAAGTGGTAATCATTTTTAGTAGGGCAGACATTTTTGTTTGTGTGTTTGTTTTAATTTTTTTTCCCTAAACCACAAGATGGCCATTGGAGAAATATTTCTGAACTGGCCTTTACTCTCCATGGCTATAGTGTTTCAGAATTTATAGGAATTCTAAACTTTTATTGAAGCTTTTGGGCTTTAATGAGCCTGTCCTGCCATGTCAGAATAGTGTGGTAGTGATTCTCAGAGAAGCAGGTGAGAGGATATGAGGAGGATGCAAAGAGAGCATAACAAAATGTTGCAGGATCTTACACAAATATCAGAGGTGAGTTTTCCAGCTGCCCCTGTCCCCTCAGGTTGCATTTAACCTTTTTGAGAGATATCTTTTCTCCCTTCATATCTCCCATTTCTCTACTGCTATCCTTGATTTTTACACTTGCATTTGCATTAGTTAGGATGGCTCTCTGAGTTCATTTGAATCCATGAAGGGTTCTGATACTGAGCAGAAAGCCATGTATATTTTTTCTTTGTGGTATGTGGTTACAGTCATACCTCAGCGATATTGTGGTTTTGCTTCTAGGCCATTGCCATAAAGTGAGTATCTCAATAAAGTGGCTCATAATATTTGTGCTGGTTGAGGGCCTTACCTTCAATTTTTAAAAAACACAACATATGTGAAGTGCAATAAAGTGAAACACAATAAAATGAGATGTGCCTATAGCTAGTCAGTAGAAAACGAATGTGTTTTAAAAAAACCAATCTTGAACAGCCATATCTAGGGAGAGACAACTTAGATTATATATTATCCTTCCTATGATATTACTGGCTCAAAAATCAACCTAACTTGCTGAAATTATTGGGAGAAGAAATATAATTTCCAGCAAGCAGTCTTGGGTACCATCTTGGAGGAAAACAAGTCATGATGCTTCTACTTCATTCTGAACTCTTTTGTGAAAATAGTTGAGTTGCATGTTAGAGTTTTATTATTCCTTTGACATTCCTCCAGTTAAGCACTAGGACAAATCTTCTTCCTATCACCTAAGTGCAGTGGGTGCTGGTTTACTGCTTAGCAAAATATACAACTTGAATTATAGCATCCCATCTTCCAGGTCAAGTGTTTCATGTGGCATGATTGTATATTACAGGTATGTCCTAAAGAGCCCTGGCAAAAAATCTTCGTAAGTAGTCTGAAGAACAAAATCCTGACTCAACGTCTTTCTGATGACTTAGCTGGAATGACTTTTCCTGAAGTTTCCCTGTAAGTTAAAAGAAAAGCTTTCTCATTTTTTTTCCCCCACAGAATAGCATTCTTTCAACAGTGTTCATTGGTGGCATTTCTGTAGGCCAGGCTCCATGAAAAGCACTGAAGATATAAGAATATGAGATCAGAATAAATCTGAGTTGCTGCAACTTAGAAGTTGTGGGACAATTGTATCTCTGTCTCAGTGGCATGCTGGCTATGAGCTACTTCAGGATGGATCCACTTACAAGGGGGAATTCCATATTTGGGAGGCCCTTCCTCTGATGAAGTGCTGGTGTCCCCACAGGGACAGAGCACAAAGTGTTAGTCATAGTTCTGTGAAGCAGTGGCCTCCTGTCCTCCCTCTCCTCATGATGCTTCGTCTTCCTTCCCAGGCTCTGCTTTGTGAAGCTGCACCTCATGCTGATAGCCATCAAACACAAATCCACGGCTTCCGGTTACTGGTAGCAATGAGGCTTCAAACCTCTTCCGTTTTTTGTTTTTTAGTAGAATCTTTATGATTAAGACTTTTCCAAATATGCAACCATAACTAAGCTTTTTGATATTTGTTGAGAGCAGCCCAGGCTGCTGTGGTGAATTTAATATATTTCTAGTGATTGTGGTTAGCATGGTTACCCTAGCAAGCATGTCAAACTCAAAGGCTAACACAGGCCAAATAAATGAGGCATGCGGCCCACAGGCCACAAGTTTGATTTGCTTGCCCTAACAGGTGGACAGGTGCTTTGCCTTTGCTGCTAAGGCACTGACTGCCCCAGTTCTCTCCAGGAGGGGTTACCCTCTCACATCTGTTCCTCTTCATATATTACCAGATCTGGCAAATCTTGACCATGAAGCCATACCATAACAATAGAATTACTTATGATAAAAATGTTCTCACAAACTCTAGTTTTAAAAACAATTCTGTAAAATATGACAAAATGTGAATTTGGCCTACTAGAAAAAGTCTGCTGTTAATAGGGGGGATGAAGGAAAGAGATAATGTTACCAGCATTTCCTGAGAACCCATATTGGATAATATTAGAAGTAAAATAAGTTATCATGTCAGAAAAAAAATAAAATTTAAGACAAATAAAAGAAAATCAACTACAATGACATCGTGAGAAAAGATGATGAAAATAAAATGGGGCATTAAATAGATGGGGGACAAGAAAGACATTGGCTGATGTATGGTTTTCTGTGCAAAACTAACTTAAATTAGAATCAACACACTAGATTCTAGTCCTTATTATTTTTTGCTAGCCCAGTGGCCTTGGCAAAGTGTTCACCATCTGTAAAATTTGGAAGTCATGTTAACACCTAAGACCCCTTCCAGGTCTAAAACCAACATTACCAGGAACCATGAAATTACAGGGAAATAGACAAAATTCAGTAATTCTGGGTGGTAGCACATGAACTACACAGGAATGATTTTATGTGAAAGGTTGGAAAGAACAACAGTTCTGTGCAAGTAGAGATCATGCAGAAGGAATCTGGGCAAAAGAAATCAGTGGGTAGAGTACAAAGCAAGTCATTAAGCAGATTTAACAAGCAGTATTGTCTGGCTGGCTACATTCTATTTAGCAATCCTGCCATGCTCAAGAAAAATCTCAAGATC